CCCATATTCAAGCTTTTGAGCTTGCATATTACTGAGATGATGTTTCTTATACAAAAACACTTATCACAGCATTTTTCTTATTTCTGAGGATATCAGGAGTTGCATTGCTTTTCCAAGTAGTGTAACTCTGATAGTTTCTGCCTCATAAGAAAGTACCAGTGGATGTGCGGGTCTTCAAACTTGAAAGCTTTGGGCTGTCATGCCCCAAAGTGCAAATGCAGAGTTTGGTATGAGCAAAACTCTATTTAGCAGATTAAACTGTAGGGCATTTCTTTGCCTTTGTAGTTAACCCTGTGCTATGAAACAGCACCTCTGTGCCTTTGTTTTCAGGTTACTTTTTCCAGAAGCCACCAATTAAATAAAAATAGCATTCTGAGAGGAAAACCACACCACTAGTTTGCTTCTCTTTTATTTTAAAAAGCCACACACCACCTTTTAAATAAAAAGTATTTGCGATGATGAATTTGAAGCAGCAATTGGGCATAGGAGCCTGCAGTTCATACTCCTGAGACCAAGTGGTGAACCCTTTTAAGGCCAGGTTCTTCTGTGAAGAAAACTAGATTTGCACATGTAATCAATACCTGCTTTGCCACAATCTCATGTACAGAGGAAGCTGTCTGTATAGGTTCTGTCTGTCATTTTTTATCCCATAAGATAAAGATCAAAGGCAGGGATATTTTTCCCATGATGACAAGTGGCAAAGGTTCAGGATGTCTGTCTACCCCCTTCAGGTAAAACCATGCCTGGGGTTCCTGCGAAAGAGGAACATCCAAACATGTCCCCATTAAATCTGAGGAGGTAACTCCTGAAAGGTGTCTACTCACCTTCCCCATTATTTACCTAAGCCAGCCCACTGGAGGATGCAGCCTCCAAAATGGGGGAAAACCAGCAACCAACAATGGCAACCAATAATGGCACCCAACAACTAAAACAAAAATTAAATTTTAAATAAATAAATTAAATTTAAAAAATAAACATTAAGGGAAAATAAATACTTAAAGCCAATTTTAAATGAAAAAATCAATTTCAAAATATTTTAAAATTTTATTAAATATAAATAAATAAAAAGGGGAACACATACTTTACATTAAACATTTAGTTGCTTCTAAATGATACTTCCTGAAATCAACTAATTTCCAGATAGAAAAAATCGCTTTGCTGCAAAGATGACAGGACATCACCAAAACCATTTCCCTCATTTTCTTCTGAGAAAGCACCTTTCAGGAAGTGAGGTCATATTTTCCAGCCTGATGCCTAAAAAATGTACTGTGTGTTGACAGAGTACTGCTCTGTTAGAGCATCTTTGACAGGATGCATTGTGGCACCCTTTCTACTGCAGGAAAACTGTACCAGGATAAATCCACACATTATATATAAAATGCACACACAAATGTGGCAAGGAACAAAGCAGTCCCTTCAGTTTTTGAAGACTCATCTTGCCCAGAAGCGTAAAGCCTGGTTTGTGTGCAGCAGTGTAGCAATTCTTTAATACAAAAAATGGATGCAGCCCAAACCACAAAAAAAAAAAAAGCCTTTTATATGTTGTGTTGCTAATTGAAACAATTTGCCATGATTTATTTATGCTGATGGAACAACACACCAGAAGTTTCTAAGTCCCTGTAAAAGGACTGTTTCTTCCTCCAGGCTAGATCAATTTTCCATACCAGAATTCCTCAGTTTCAAAGAAAATTAGGTAACCCATGCTTACCTAATTGCTGTGAAATTATACTTCATGAAAGATAAACCGATCACTGAACTGGATGTAGAAAGCCATTTACACTCAAGGCATAAATCCTATAGTTTTTGTTTGTTTCCAGCTTCAAAGTTTTCAGGGAGGTAGATTTGCTCCCACCTTTGTGTACACCACAGTCTGCCTGGTGAACATGTGTACATGGATGAGTGTTATTCAATGTTTTGCTCTCTCCCTGCTCTCCAACAACATTCACACACTTAAATTTATTCTCTGTCACACTCACAGGTATCCCAGGGTAGTTTCTTCAGAATAACATGATTTTTTTCCCCCACTGCCTAAGGAGCTGAAGTCTCACTATTAGTCTGGTGTGAACAACAAAGATCATTTTTTCATTTCCTACTGTTGCTCTACAAATTTTGCTGTTTTTAAAAAAACTAGTAACTTGGCTCTTGATTTATCTGGAAATTACACTAGACTATTCACAAACATGCTTAAAAATAAAGCAATTATTGAGTGTTTTGACAGCTCAAGATTGTCCAGATCTTACAGATTCAAGCCCAAGAAGCATCTTTTCAGCTTTGCTGGTTGGGCAACAAAACCCTGAGCTTCCCTTTGCTCTTCAAAAGCAAATTACATTTGGGCCAGGAGTTTAGAAACTGCTGTCCTCCTCTGGACCCCTGCCTTTCAATTAAGTGGTTAACTAGACTTAGAAATTTTCATTTCTAGGTAAAGACCACTGCACAGGAATTACTCTAGGATGGCACAACTGCAGTAAAGATACAAATGATAAGCACTTTCATTTTCAATCGTATTAAGTGACAATTTTGGAGACTGGACAATCCTTGCTGAGTTCCCCCATGCCTTCCAAGAGTAGATGTGATTAATTCAGCCTAGAATCCATTCCCAGCAGTTACTGGGATCCTCAGTAGTGAGGAATTCAACCATCATTTTCTGTGCTCATTAAACTTGCCCCAAAATAAATTAAAAAACAATAAACCAAAAGAGCAATCAGTATGTACTGATTCCATGAGCTTTTATTTAGAACAAAATGGACTTCACACATTTTCATAAGGGTCACTTCTGGGCTGAAGAACTAGTAGTAAAATGTACTGTTATGCTATTATCCCTGAAAAGAAAATTTTGAATTCAATTGTATGTGTCAGTTGGAGATGAATAAATTATAAACATCACAACTCTACTGTGAAGCCCCTGAACTATTTATTTTTATATGAAAGCTTCAAATATTTATGACCCTTATCCTCAATGATCTAAACACACACCTTTAAAAACTGTAATTACCAGCATATCACTGGTTACACAAGAAAAAGAACACTCACAGTCAGCAGTATGTTATCCCAGGAAACTAGATTCTCTAGAAATCAATTTCTATTGTCTAGGGTGATGGTGGAAGCTGCAAAGTCAGACATCAAAATACTCGAGGCTGAGGCTACACACACATACCCACATACCCACATGAGGAAGAGATACACTAGTTACTCCAGGTGGCAGTAGCATTATTTTTCATTTATTTAAAAAAAAATACACAACTTTCTCTTAATGAAAAGCAAACTGGAATCTGTGCCTGAACTCTTACTCTAAACATACCAAAATAAGCACAGTAAAAGTCAACCTTAGACTGGAAACATCTGTAAAATAAGGTTTATATTGCCATACCAAAAGCTGAGTTAAAAGAGAACAAATGAAAATATCCATCAACAACCACCATGTTCTCAAAGATTAAGAGGTTGTGAACAAAAGCCCAATCTCAATTATGCTTTCTTCAGTTGGTTAGAAAGAACATGAACTATAAAAAGCCATCTAAGAAACTGCAGAAACCTTGCTAAGGGGAAGAGAAAGCCTTGAATTTCTCTTACAGACTTCTCATTCCTTTTCAATAAAACAGAAGTGAGGAACGTTGACCACACAAATGCGTAACTGGACTACTCTGATAAAAAATGTATTGTGGCAATTCAGTTACCCGAGAAAAATAGATATCAGTATTAATACAGAAGTCTTTTTAAGTTCTCAAATGACATGAAAATTGCCCATTACACTTTGAAATATGCGATTCCAGTGAGTAGCCAGAGATCTAGGAATATATGTTTCTGTATTAAAAGTGATAAAAATAAGCAGGAAGATACCTGAAACAATAAAAGGCATTTTTAGCTGGAATGTGTTTCGCTAATGCTACAGGAAACTGCATCAGATATGACATTATACTGAATCTTGTAGTGGTTCCAAGCAGTATAATAGTACACACTGTTAAATACACACACTTGACCAAATAAATAGTCAATCTGCCAGAATAGTTAACACAGGAAGAAATCCACATTTTTTCTTAATGTAAACAGTAAGGTTTCTAAAAGATATTTTAATTTTAAGCATTATTATATTTTTAACATTACTGCATGCAACACTGTCCAAGTGTTATGTCACCTTTGTGCATCACTAGGCAAGAAACGGTAAGACACCGGGAGAGAAATTCTCCAGTCGTTGAGTCTAGTGCTGCACACAAAATCACAAACATCCTCAGTAAACTGCACACCTGGACAAGACAGATGTTTGTATATAAAAGGCAACTTTATTTATATACCCGTAATCCTCTGCACAAAGATCTCACCCTCGCGTTTTAAAAGGCACAGGCTTTTAAAAAGGCTAGAGTGAGGGGCACTTAAAATGGAACGTATTATTTACCTGATTTCAAGAGCTGCCTTTAAAAAGCAGCAAGACAACTGAACTGCAAGTCCTTCCAGAAATCAAGAACTGTCTCCACCATCATTTAAACACTTGAAACATTTAGGCTTGTCTTATAGGTTCACTCTCATTCTTTGCATTTCAGAGAAACCACCTGCTGGAAACAATGGTTTCCTCTACCCTGTTTTTTAATCCTTAGTAACAGGTGAAGTGAAAAGCACTAGTAAACAGCTGAATGACCACATAATTATTTCTTCATTGAATCCTTACTCTTACTTAAACCAAAAGTTCAAGTTATTAGTAGAATGTGAATGTTACAGGCATCTGAACACAAGTGCAAATTGGTTTAGACTTTTGAAACTGTTTTTGTACAAAAAAGAAAGAAAATAGTCTTTGGTGTAGGCTCATGTTGTACAATCCAAGTATAATAACATTGGCCAAAAATTACAGAAAACCCATAACTTATCTTCTGAAGTAGAAGAGCCCAAAGCTCAAGTGATCACACTGATTTACAAGCACAGAGCTCTTCCAGGTGGCCTACGTGGTCTTTCACTACACTTACATAGCCACTATCATGCTAAATATGATAAATTTTCAAGCTGCAAGTGGTGGAAAGGACAGTGTCCCCACATGTGCTCAGATATTAGCAGATTGCTTAGATGTGTGCAACCTGGAGCTGCCTTGAGACAGTGATGCAGCCTGCATCTTCTAAGAGTCACCAACCAACACTCAAACAGATGACTTTGAGAGGAGGAAATACTGGACAGAACACTCTCCCCCCTACTAATGGCCCCAGTTTTAAGCTGGCAGTTAGGAATTAAATTTCCTGATGCCTTTTTAGTAAAAAGCAGAAGTGTACCTTTGGCACCTGTTTCACAACCAGAAGTGCACGCAGTCCTGGAATGTCCTGACTGAGTTTGCTAGATGTTCACTTTAAAATTGAAAGCTATCAACAGCTAAATTTAAAAAAATAAAATGACACAAAAGAACCAAAACCACACACACAAAACAACACAATATCAAAACACATTTAAAAATAACACTCCTCTTCAGTATTTTTTTTCTCCTAGACTGCTATCCTTACACCTGTGTTTCCACAGGAAACTGCTATACCTGGTATAAAATTATTCCACTAAACCATCCTGTTTCTTTCTTTCCAGCAAGGGCATACTTGTGTCTCCCTTATCCTTTTCATTTGCATCTCCATTGTCCTCTAATTGCCCCAATTTCTGATGAGCAAATGTGTAAGTGTCATGGTCTGTGTCCATCAGAGGTGGAGATTCCTCCTCAGTGTTAGAAGAGCATTTAATGTCTTTTCTGAAGGAGAATGGAGGCGGTGAAGGAGGTAAGCTACCAATGCGTCCATCAAAAGGCCGGTACACATCAACTTCTGGGGCAGTTGAGCCATTAGACTCCTTCAGCAAGTGTCCATAGATCATACCATCATCAATAACTGCATAGACATGAGACTCATTGTTTTGCCTCCCTTTTCTGAATAAGCTTTTTTTCCCAGGCATCTGGGTATTCACGTTAGCATTGTACACTCCCACCATGGGATTCTGGGTTTTCTTCTTCCTGTTACAGAGTTGAAATTGTTAACAGGTCAAAAACAACGTATCTGGTGTGTTTGAATTCAATAATAACAGCTTCTGTTTACCCATCCCAGCCACAGTGTCAGGCAGTCTACCCGGATTAAAGGCTTTACTTGCAATCTTAGGAAAATAGACTCTTGAGTCTAGACATGCTTTTTTAACAGAGCAGAAAATAACTTCACACCACCTGGTTACCCACTGCTGCTGTCTGACCCTGAAGTTTGCAAGATTAACTGCAATGGCCTGCCAAGCATTAGGGTCCTGGCTGTGCAGTGTACCGAGTCCCACAACATCCACCAACAATAATAAGACCCAGAGACCACTAGATCCTCACAAAACAAGGCTGAGTGTTATTGAAGATGAGATAGTGAGTCCCCTATAAAAGCCAAATGAACTTTCCTTGTTTATACTTTGAGTGACTGTCCCTAAATTGGAAAGAACAAAGGCCGAACTGAATACTTTTAAGCCTGCATTTGTGAAGTTTCTCCTGTGTGGCAGGAAAATGTGCTCATAAGTGCTCTAGTCACCGTATTGCATAAATTCCTTCCAGCTTTACAGCTCCTGGACCACCTTGACAGCACTGAGAATACATGAAAACCCAAGCTATCAATGACTTCAGACTCTGCTTCTATGAGTAATGCTACACATGTAAGCTTTGCACAACTCAGTTCTCACTCCAAGGACTCATCTCATAGAAAAATACTCCCACTTGAGGTGCAAACTCCAGGAGAAGTGGCTGGATGTTGTGTAGGTGAAAGAAAGCTCTTGGTAAGCTCTAGGTAAGCTTACAGCTTGCTTGAATGAAGACTTGAATAGAGTCACGCACAAAATCGCAATGAATGTAGCTATTGCGTGTCAGGGACTGCTGGAGTCCAACCAACACCTTACTTACAGTACAGCCAAAAGCCTGTACTAAGGTCAAGGTAAGCAGTAGTCTGCAGGCTGAAGTAATGTGACTCCAGGAATGCTGCTCTGCTCTTAGAGTCAGTCAGTTTAGAGGAAAGAAGCATTCCTGGAGTCACACTACTTTCACACCATTGCCTACCTAATGCTTTAGACCCTGGTTCAAGGGATCTATATCAACACATGAAACAGATGGCCAAGCAGCTCTCCCAAAATACCTTCTTTAACTGCTAAGTTACACACACTAAATTATGAACTTACTTCTTCTTAACACAGCACACAGTCAGTCCAATAGCCAAAAGAACTCCGGCCCCAGCTACCACAGCGAGTATGATTCCTAGGTCTGCAAACAGACAAGATACAAGGACACTGAGCAAAAGAAAGAACATCCAGCTTTCTCCTAAAAGCTGCCTGGGTTTGAACCTCCTCAAGAGTTTCTACACATACCAGTTGCCTGCAGAGCAGCAGTTCCCAAGCCATGAACAACACAGGCCATTTCCAAGAGGCTGGAAGTCAGGCAACAACCAACTGCTGTTGGCAGTGGAGCACAACCAAAAACCCCAATCAACCCACCCACCTCCAAGAGTTTAATACAGCTCATGCACTGCTGAACTTACCTGCAGCATCTCACAAGCCTCTGGCTGAATAAGCAAGGAAGAGAAAAAAGTGAAGAAACAGAGAAGGATTCAACAGAAGAAATAGTGACATTTCAACAATTTCCCCTCAAAACCATCCTTTCCTCTGAAATGCACAGGTTGTGTTGACTTGGGGTTTTCTAGGAGTCAAAAAATTGATTAGGAAAGTCCACACGCAAGCAAAGAAAAATGCTGCATATTTTAAAAGAAGTATACATTACAAAAAAAATTATTGAAAAATTAGAAATCAATTTGATACTGCTTCAGCTCTCGTCTGTGAATCCAATACTTCTATGGACAGCAGTCACCCGCAGGTGAAGAGGAAGTGCAAATGTGAAGCAAATTTAAATAAGCAAAGACTACTCTAAAAATGTCCCCTTCCCCTTTTTTTTTTTTTTAACCGTTTATGTTTCAGGGAGATGAAAGAGAACAAGAACACAGATTTTGCTGTTAGCAGTCAGGGCCCACTCTCCACTAAATGGTCAGATCTGTCCTGGGGATGATTTCTTGCTTACGTGAACACTGAGACTAACTGAACTGCTAACATGAAGTGAGCACTACTTGGATGAATAAGTTAGCATAATCAAATCCCAAGCTTTTCACCAGGTCTGTGACCTTGGAAGGGAGAAAAATCATTTGATCTTATTATACATTCTGTCTGCTATCGCCAACTAAAAAACCTGAATTAAATTTAAAAAAATGAAATCTAGTCTTAATACCCTGATCCCTTCAATCCCCTGTGTAAATAAAAGAAAGCCCATAAACATACCCCACCCCCTAGAAACCCCCACTGCATTAAAATCCCTCCTTTCTCTCCAGCTCCTAGAAGTACCCAGCTGAAACTCTCAGAAGTTTTTGAAGAACAGATATTTACAAATGCAGAATCTCATAAACCCCCCACATCCAAGGAGGACCACCATCCATTCCTGTTACCCCACGGGAAAGCAAGGAAACAAGCAGAAAACAAATCACCACAGCCTTACAGGACTCACCTATCTGCTTGTCAGCAAAAGTCACCCAGAACTCCAAGGTCAGTTGCATCTTGTCCACAGGTTTACAGTTGGAGATGTTTACCCAGAAGTTGTGATTCATATTTCGGGGATCAGGCAGAACTTCATCCTCACGGCACACGATCTCCTCTGCCCCCGAAGTCTCCTCCTTTATGTTGATATAGGCACGGCCTGTCTCACAAGCAATACCCATGCGGTCCTTGTGGAACCCAAGGCGGGCAATTTGCTTGCTGGGCACAATGACGTACCAGGATATGGAGACATAGGGAGGTAAACCATAACGCCCGTTGGGAGTCTGCAAGTAAACTCTGGCCTTTGAATTTGGACTCACAGTGAAAGAACACTCATCTGTAGCATGGGAAAAGAATGAAAACTTAGTTCTAATAATTACAGTCCCCTCCTACATCAGTAACTATCACAAGAAACACAGGCATATCTGCAGAATTTCCCATAACCATCCACCCAGAACGTGGAGTGCAAAGTTCCTTCTTTCTTCCAGGAACAAACAACCTCACTGGTTCAGATACAGACTGATTCTAGCAATGGCTCCACGACTAGACTCTAAAGAATTGAACTCTTAATTTCTGTTTGTCCATATGTGCTTTAATATGCGTATTGAGAGATTTATCACCGCACAACAAAATATACAAAATACCTCACCTTTAATATGTGGCACAAAAGACATTTTCAAATCTTGATGGTTAGACTCATTGATGAATCCTTTACCAAATGCTGTTAAGGTTATGGTGATATTATTCCTCATCTGAATCTTTTCAATGGATCCACCAGGACAGAATACACCAACATTCAGCTCCGCCTCTGGGGTGGCACTAACAATGCTGTAACTGTAGCTCCTGTTGCACCTCTGCTCTGGGACATGTTGCTGAAGTTTCAAGGACGGAGACGTAACTTCTATGTTGATCAGACCGGGGGCCAAGAGCTTCCAAATAAACTTGTGCAGCCGAATCGGCAATTGCAAAATAGCCTTGGGCACCGAAAGAGAATAGATCTTCCTCTGACACCACCGAAGATCAACACAGCCTGCAATCACAAAAACAAATCTGAAGGGTTGTGTATTTCTTGCAGAGGAATTATCTAGGCACATACAGAGTACTGTCAGTTTTTCCTTACAGAACTCAGATAAGCACCTACCTGAGAAAATATCCCCTCTTAGAAACCTTTACCCAAACATGTATTGTTTGTATTTAAAGAGCTTTCCTTAACATGGTACAGAACACCAAAGAAACAAATAGATACAAACATATTCAAAATTCCTCACTCAAGACACTACTTTTGCTATATCACCTGCTGACTGAGACGCTGCTATAGACTAGCCAAGGTACAGATTCATACCTGAAATCTCTTTCTTTACCAATAGTTGAAAGCATTTAGGAAAAGCATACACCAAGGGGACACTCAAGCAGCACAAGATGCATTCCTGATGGCCACCTTGGTCCTGAATTTTCATGGGCAGATTTATGGTTCTCAAGCTCTGTTTCCCTATTTCGCAGTAGCTAGCGAGAAGATTCTTATGTGATTTCTGTCCTTTCCCTTCTGGGGACAGCTACACAGTTTCTATTTTTAAAGGTAGAATGATGTACTGAACAAGGTCACCTCCAGATTCATTCTACCCATCTGGGTGCACTGTACCCATCTGGCCCAGCTGGCCAATGCCCCGTTTCCAACCAAAATCCATTTCAAGCCAAAAGAAGAGAGGAGGTTTCAGTGAGCCCCGGGGAAAAACATGCAAAAGCATTCCCTGGGCAACAACGTTAAGCCACTTTTGTCATACTTATGCCTTTTTCAGCCGTGATCCTCAGACGGGACAAGTCCTTGCACAGAAAGGAGATCCTGTAGACGGTGCCAGACGCTAAAGTCAAGATGCGGTCGCAGGTGCGAGGATCCTTACAGATCAAGCATACGGGTTCAGACATGAGTGGGATGCGGCCAGGCCACCCTTCGAAGTGTATGGTCACAGTCATGTTCCGCTCCTTGCTCAGGTCAACCAAATGGGTGACATCTGCAATGAAAAACATCCCAGAGCAGTTACAGGCAAGAAGCGTGGTGTGAAGCAGAACTTCATCTCTTCTCATCCCATTATACGAGCAGCTGTTACAGATATTTCTATATCAGCTAAGATATCTACTTCTTTCCATCAATGTAATACGAACTCAGGAGGTATTGTATCACTCTTCTAATGTAGGGGTTTGACCCTTTCCACACACAAAGCCCATTTCCCTCCCCCTTTCCAGCTATAGCAGGCTAATACATATGCTAAGCCCCACGTGTGGGCAGCTACAGCAAGTTGGAACAACAAGGGTAAGCAGGAATGGCAAATACCTTCTCCCATGTAAGATAAGGGCAGTTGCAAATACTTAGAACATCTGGAAGGAGGAAATAAAAGGAAAGAGGAAAAAATGCAAGGTTATGGGTTATAGTGTAGTTCACAAAGATTGACTATCATGTGGAAAGATAGATATTACATCCACACAACAACCTGATGCTGTTAACAAGCCACGGGTCTCTAATGTCAAAGAAAGCAACCTGATGTAGTGGAAAGTATCCCTGCCCATGGCAGGGAGGGTTGGAACTGGATGATCTTTAAGGTCCCTATCAACCCAAATCATTCTATGATTCTATAAAGAATAGGGGGGAAAAAAATTGAAAAAAATACACACACACACACATACTCTATTACTACTCTTCATTTTCTGATTTTAGCTTTACCTATGGATCTCAAAGTCATACACAAAAGGTGAATAAACAGCTTTCTCCTGTGTGGGAAACCAGACACACAAAAAGGCAAGTGGTCAAATGAAGTTGTCCAAGTCATTGGACAAGCACACAACCAAGCACAGAACCTAAGATTCCTACCACAAGGTTACTCATTTTTCAGAACGCTTTTTCCTGCAGCAGCCAAATGCAGCAAGACTTAGATCAAGAAGTTATTGTGACTGCAAAGAGCTACATTTTCTTCTTGTTTAACGACAAGCACCACAGACAGCTGTGGAATACCCAAATGTTTGGGAAGCTTTGAAAATATGCAGATATCAATGCATTTTTAATAAGAGCAATGTTGCAGATGGCAACCTGAGGGTTGAATTTGAATCTTTGATAGAACTTACATAACTACAAAATCAATCATGAAATCCTATAAAATCCCTAGAGAAACCACTGTTGTCTCTTAAATCCACATGGTTTATTACTTGCATTTCATTCACGAGATGACAACCTGTTTTTAATTTTGTAGGTGATTATTGTCTTGTCTACTGGCCATAAATATATTAAAATTCTTCTCGCTTTCCAAAGTAGAAGGGAAATAAAGCTGATTAACTGAATACAACGTTTTCATTCTGTCTAGTTTCCAAGATGCAACACACGATAAATGTAAGCAAACATGATTTTGTTAACAACAACTTTGTGAGGATTTACTGTTCATAAATGGAGCCAGGCTAGAGAGACAAAGGATGGAGGACTGCAGTGGTGAAATGCTACAGACCCTTTCTGGATATGTGACTTCAGGGCACAGGCCATTCAAACTTTATTCCTTCTAAAATCATTTAAAAAGCCTCTAAGTAGCTCCTGTCACAGTGGTGGTCAAGTGTGGACCTTCCTCCACCTGCTCTTCTGCAGTGAGTGCACCTTGATTATTAACCTCCACCCTGAACTGTGGTCAGAGCTGATAAGTCAGAGAATAAATCACTAGCTCATTACCTAGCCAGGCCTTTTATATCTGCTTTTAGATAAATGCTCTGATATTACAAGCTATTGTGTTAAACCAATCTGACTTTTAGGCTAGAAAAACAAACAAACAAAGAAATTATTTTCTTAGTGTAGAGAAAGAAACAAAGAACATCCAAATATGTAGGAGATATTACTAGTGGAGTATCCTGCTGACAACTTCTGTGCCTGTGTGACTTCTTCACACCAGATGATGTTCAGGCAATCAAAATAAAACTCAAAGGAAGAAAGAAAGGAAGGAAAGAAATGCTCACTGATGCCATTAGTATTACAGAGACAATTTTCCACGTCTCATTTCACCAGTTTATGCTACAGATCTTGTTACCTACCATGACAGCAGGTTTCACCTTGTTAAATGCAACTGCTCATGTCGAGAGCAGGAAATTGTGCTCACATTTTATGATTTGCCTTTAAAATGTTGAATCTTACATCTGAAAGTAAACATGTCCAAATGAGCTTGAATTTGATTTCTTTACTGGAGAACAGGTAGCCACATGTAACCCCAAACAATTCCAACTGAGCAGCTACAGTCCTTGCCTGATAGCTTGATCAGACTCTCAGGAGGAACACAGTCTGTACAACATGCAAGACCTGATACTCCAGGTATTAAAGGCACTTTTCAATTACATGATTCAGATGCTGGAAAGGGAAAGGAGTCTCAATTTACAAGCTTACAGGATAAAATCTACAAACAGAGCTTCATACTCCATTGCAAATTGCAAATTTCAGCATCACTGCTCGCCTTGCTGTAGTCATGGCCAAAGGTACCAAGGGCAGTAAAACAGGCCTCAGTGTTGCTTGGCAACCCACCTCCTTAAACTCACAGGGGGACCTAAGTTCCAGGAAAATAACAAAACAAGGAGTATTTCTCTCCCTTTTGGTGCTCAGTCCAGGTGTCTGCAAGTAAAAGCAATAAAAGGTACTTACTCTCATCAAGCTGCGGATGTTGAACGATGACTTGGAAGAGCAAGCGAAGGATGCCTGGGTTCTGGGCATCCTGATCACAGCCCTGCAGGGACATGTTGAAACTGCCAGCAATATTGGCAGGCTGGCTGTCACTCAGTTTGAACACCTCCGGGTTGCTGAGGGAGCCAGGGATGTAGTACTCTACCCTCTCCTCTTTCCTTTCGCAGTTGGAGAGGCTGTAGTTGTGGAAAAACACACTTGCTCTCATGCTTGAAGGAACCACAAACTGCCACGTCATGAGTTCATCTTCTGGAAAGCCCAGTGGGTAGTTGGGGGACATCAGGGTGATGGAAGACTCCCCCTTCAAAATGGATTCAATTATGCATAACCCTAAAACATGGGGTAGGAGGAAGAAAATATACAAAACAAGTTCGATTTAATGAAGACACACTGACATATCTAGCAGTCCACGGGCATAGCATTTTTATTTTTACAGTGAGATCATCCACTTCAGCTACAGGTTAGTTTATTATAAAACCCTCAGACTAAAACATATACTCAAGTTGATTCTTTTGTCTTCAATTACAGAAAAGATAAGGAATATATTAATGCTGCATTTTCAGTTTAGTGGGTTAACCTTTCGAGCATATAGACAGACAAGCCTTTACTCTTGGGAAAAGAAAGATCCTAGTTCGTACTTCTACTCCGGGCTTTGCAAGAGCAAACATGCCACTTGATAACTGCTTCTGCTCCAACAGGTTTTGGGAAACAGAAGATGTGAGCTTTTAGACTAGAACGGAGCAATCTTTCCTAAAACCTCCTGAATCTAACAGAAAGCACACCAACACAGAACCTCAAAAAGGCGTGATAAAACATGAATATGAACCGTGGAGTCCATGTAATACAGTTGGATGACTCTTCCCAGCATGAAGTTGGGTACACAGAGATTATGGTCCTGCTTTAGGACTCCTGTGGTCATGTGCAACTGCAAGGAGTGCCAGGAGTTACAAAAAACTCAAGTTCTAGAAGCTCAAATCAGGACCAAGTTCCTTTTATAGCTGATAGCAACAACTGTAGAATTCAAGTATAGAGCAAGAACATCTCCCAGAGAGGATTTGTCATGAGATCACAAAATAACTCACTGATTGGTAAATAATATTTCAGGTATTTTAGGAAGATTACTAACCAATGTTTTGTGTTACTGTGCAGGTTGAAACAGATAACTGTATTTAAGCAGCCTCAGATGCCTCCCAGGCACTGCTTCCCCTTTTCCCACATTCCTCTCCTGAAGAAAAGCATTGGTTTGAGGCTCCAGAAGTTAAGAAAGCTTTATTTAAAAAAAAAGCAAGCCCAACTACACACTGCAACCACTAAAAAAACTCCCTTGGCTTATTCGAATTATGCTACCTAGTCTCACTGAGCTGAACACACAAAACCAAGAGAGCAGGTATGTTAAAGTTTTAGGAAATTTAAAGAGATTGGAAATGAATAATCACAAGACTGTGATTCTTAGTGTTGGAAGGGACTCCTAGAGATCACCCAGTCCAACTTCCCTGCCAAGGCAGGGTCACCTCGGGCAGGTGACACGGGAACGCATCCAGGTGGGTTTTGAATGTCTCCAGAGAGGGAGACTCCATGACCTCCCTGGGCAGCCTGTTCTGGTGCTCTGCCACCCTCAATTGAAAGAATTTCTTCCTCATGTTGAAGTGGAACTTACTGTGTTTTAGTTTATAGCCATTGCTCCTCATCCTATCGCTGGGTACCATGGAAAAGAAGCTGGCACCCACTGTTGAGATATTTATATGCATTAGTGAGATCCCCTCTCAGTCTTCTCGTCTCTAGACTAAATAGGCTCAGCTCCCGCAGTTTCTCCTCATAAGAAACGCTCCAGTCCCTTAATCTTCTTTGTGGTCTTCCCCTGGACACTCTCCAGTGCACCAAAAGGAGCAAACTAAGATATTTTGACTCCAGAAGAGCACCAGCTTACCAAAGTAAAAATTATACAATAGTTTCCAGAAAAGATGAAGTGGAAGGGAGTTAGGGATAGCAGCACCAAAACTAGAAGGTTAGCTGAGAAGAAAGGTTTAAATAATTCCGTTACAGTACTCCATACTTACTTTTTATGGAAGTCCTGTTAGCTATGCTGAAGCCTGAGGTGGTGAGGGGCGAGTCCCATGGGAGGTGCAGAGACATGACAACTCCTCCCAGCAACTTGACGCGAGACACTGAGCCATTCCTGCAGAAGGTGCCAATGCTGACCAAGGCGTTATCAATACAGCTGTTGATGTTGTAGCTAATGAAATCTGAGCATGTCTCTCCTGGTTCAATCTGCCTTAGCCACGGGGCAGAAAATTTTAGTTCGAGTCCAGCTTTTGTACTTGCCTTCACGTCCCAGATGTAAGTCCTGTTAAGGCGGGGCAGCTGCATTGGGTAAAGATAAACATCTCCAAAGGGACATGGGCCTGACACACAGTCTAAATGGAAAGAAGGAACAGCCATAATACATTCTGGAAACCATTCAAGTAAACAAGGAATTTGACACTTCTTCCTTGCTATTTTCACAATTTTTAGGTTGCACTTAACTTTTCTTCTATGTGCACTAAAAGACACTCCTGTAACACGGTCACATGTTGTCTCTAAACAGGTCTCCCATAGAACAGACAGGATAAACCTGCTTTAGTTGGGCTGACTAATAGAAGGGTTTCATTGTCTCAAGTATTCTGCCTTGTTTGCTGAAGAATTTAGAAGGTGTTTAGTGAATAGGGTAGAGTCTGAATGGGCAAAAGAGAGAAACGCAGTGTAATGAGAGCTGGAAATCACAGAGCTAGAGAATCCATTTTATCCCATCTCGCTCAGAGAATTCCTGTCAAATCATTCATTGTTAAATTTTCTACTGCTTGCAATGAACTGTATTTCTGTTTCCTTGGTGCCCAGATGAACAACAAAAGCAACTACCCCAGGATTCTGGGGAGAACCTAGAAAACTTTAATCTGAAGAATCCTAATGATTGATTGACACTCAAAATAAACATACTCTAATCTATGTCTAAGCTCCAACTTAAAAGAAGAAATATTACAAGTGTATCTTGCAAATATATCATGAGATATTGTGAGCATTACTATTTGCATGAATCATATGAATAAAATTCCAAAACACAAACAGAATTATCCTTGAACACTATCCCAAAAATAACGATGTTACTAAAGACTGAATGGCCAGTGAAGTTTGGGATCTAGTTGTGAAGTTGCGTGTGTTCATGACATTAAAGAGTACATACACCAGGGATAACATTCAAAGTAAATGAAGCTTTAGCTACACTTCCAAATTTTCAGTTTCTTGTCTTCAGTGACATTCATCAAATATAAAGAAACATGTGCATGTCTTCAATGCTTCTATTGTCCTTATAGATACACTCAAGCTGTTCATCAAATACATAATATATTACTGTAAGTGTTCAGAGGCTTTTGCCAGGGGGAAAAAAAAAGATTCTTCGATGGGTTTATAAATTGTGGGAAAAAGAAAAGGCAGAAAGGAGTTGGCACAACAAACTACCATTTAACTGCTTCCAACACTTACAAGTTAACATTAATTCTGCCAGCTGCAATACAGACTTCTTTAACTTGCATACTTTCAGTAATTCAAGGTTATTTATCAGTGCTCAAAGATTTCTTCTTACCTAACATTAGGTGGATATCTTAATACAGTAACCAGAAAGAAGAGTATGTGGTTTTACTGGAGGAAAATAACCACTGAGGGAAAATTAAAAAATATCTGTATCTTACCAATATTTTTCCGAATTTCCATGATGAAATACTTCTCTGGAGTACTACAAGTGAAAGTAAAAGTCACATTCTCCCCAGGCTTTATGTTGAGTTCAGACCCGAAGGCACTTTTAATGCGCATTTTACAGTTTGGTGAAACACCAGGTTTCGGTTTAATTGTAACTGTGGTGTTGTCCACTTTACGAAGAAAGATTGCAAAGGAAGCTAAAAAAGAAAAAAACCAGATAACAGGTGTTTTGTTACTATGAGGATCACCAGCCTTTCCACACATCACCACAGATGCCACAATGTCCAAAGGAATATTAGCATCCACATTTTCAGGAGTCTCTAGTGTTGTACCAATAGAAAATGCCTTGGCTCTGTCAGTACTGACAACATAAAAATATGCTTGCTGTATGTGCTTAAGAGAGGTATACAGGGAATTTGTGCAGAACCAGTTCCGCTCCAATTTACACTCCCTAGTGTAATTTACTTCACACTTAAAAAGGAACTATTCCTTTCAAATTTTTGTTCTCCTGACTTTGGCTTTCAGTCTGTTATCACACAGCCTCCTTAATTTCTGAAGGTACCCATCAAGTCGTGACTCAATTTAGGAATTTACTCAGTAGCAAACAACAAAACAAGCCTCAACTTCAATCACACACAATGGCGAATCTCTGGGTACACATCAACAACTACTGCAGCCCAAATGAGGTATTCGGGTGATACCAAAAGGACATACCAACAGACATTTACACCCGCAGTCATGGCTCTCTCCCACTCTCCTCACCTTTCACAATTTATTCCCTGAAGGTACAGGATGTCCACGCAATGCCCTCACCAGCACTGAAGGCATCTGTGGCCTGGGATACCTCCTCTCTGTCCCTGACACGACCATCACTGACTTAAAGCTTTTGGGAAATACTTCACAGATTTTAAGCACTACCAGATGCAGCAGCTCTCACAGGAAATACTGGAGCCACAGAATAAACTGCTTGTTGAATAATCTTTTTATGGTAGCAGTTTATCAACAAACAGATCAAACCTGACTGTCTTTTAAAAATATATACCCAATACAAGACACCGAGGAGCACTGACTGGACATTCAAGATGACTAGAAAAGTTATTAGCATCAGTTGGATGCTCAGTAAAGATATAGCCCAGCCTTGGCTGAAGCAAGTAAAGTTTGCATTGAAGTCAACCATATCCCAGCCACAGGTGAAAATCTGAGGACAGGTCAGTCGATCAGTTTTCTACTACTTGTTTCAACTGCTCCCCCTTCCCTATTTCAGTGTCTGCAAGATACAATCATAGTGTCTACAGCATTTGTGCTTCTAGTGTATATATTAAAAGAAAGTACATAAAAAATAATAAGAGATCTAAAAATACGGTTACTCCAAGTTCTGTTTAAAAACATCTGTTCCTCGAGTGGGACATCACACAGGGCTGCATGACAAAGCTCTGCCCATATGCCAGGTTGAGAATCCTTTTGCTTGTTAACCCCAAGAAAGAGAGATTTACCCTGGCAAAATTAGCAGTGCAGTACCCTAAGGGAGCCTCTGAAGCCATTCCCATTGCCAGGCTGCATGCCAGGAAGGTATAGGAGAACAACTGGCTCACAAAATCACACCTGCAAGATGCCCCAGGCTCTGCCCAACTGTTCACCATCCCTTGAGCACCAGCACAGTCCATGCCAGCTGCTACTGACACAGTAGCCAAAGCCCAGAGACCTGGGGACTCACTTGGTGAGGGTTGTGGGGAGGGAGGCTGAGCACACCATGGGAATCCTTGATCAGCAGAGCCCTCTCATGGCAGATGAGCATGCCAGAAACTCTCAACAAACATGCCCACCCAACTCAAAACTTTAGCCATTGAAGCTGCAGAGAGAAGCTTATTGCATTAGTGACTCCATTTCACACAAAACCCACCTGTTCTATTTAAGAGAGGTTTAAAAACTCTCCTGATTTTTACAGCAATCTCATGTTTCTCCAGGGCCTGACTTTTACTGCAATGTTTGGTAAAAGTCCTGAGGATTTATCAGGGGCTAATTGTCCCTCCCTGCCACTGGGAACTTGCAGCTCCAGGTTTGTCAACATCAGGTATCAAAAATCTCATTGCTAAAGAGAATAGGGCAGAATAGAGTATTCAAAGAGGCACTCCAGCAAGCTTTTATCTGAGTTTTGTTGGTCTTGAGCCTTTTTGCAGCCTTTCTAGCTTGGAATCAAAAGACTTAGCAAGCCCTTGAAACTGCCTTACCTATCTGCCTCCAGGATCAAAGGCTTTAAATGAAAATCTCAAACAGCAGTTGCTTGCCAAATTGTTGCACATACTTTTAACCTCAAGTTTTCCAATGCTCTAAAACCATTAGTGAGAACCTGGTCACTGAGTAACTTTCTTACAGCTTTTAGGTGATGGGACAGTACTCTAACCCGAGAGCCTACACTGAATTCTCCTGCCTCTTCCAAATGCTGGCACACTTTATATCTGGGTTTTTGCCTTAGAAATGCTTTTGCAGAGGTTTTCAATCTGGGTTTCCTGAGGAAAAAAGATGACGGTATAGTCTAGGAACCACCTTGTGCAATGACTTTCCAAGCACACGGGGCACAATTGCAGGGGCAACGTCCATGGGGTGGGGAAAAGAAGAGAGTAAAGCCAAGCAAGCAAGCAGTGCTGCTCTTCCTCATGCTTCAGGAGGAAGCAGTCTTCCGAAGACAAAGTGAAACTACTTCCAGCCTAGCCCAGAGTTTTGTTTCCCATAACACTGGACGCTTTTGGGGGTAATTTGAGGTTTTTATTTATCACACTTAGTGCACAGAATACCTTTTGACGAAGATGGTCATCATTTTTCTGATGTTTAAGTCACCCTGATATGAAGTGTTAATAGCATAATACCAGTAATTAATAATTACAGACAAAAGAGGCTTCTTTCTTGCATAGGATAACTGTCATATTCATCTACAGTTTATAAGTATTACTAAAAACTCTGTTTCTAATTTCCTGGTCAAACAGTTATCACTATTCCTTTTCACATTCCTGGGACAGCACAGCCATACATCCAACTTGGAAGGACAGAGAAACATACCAGGACCACTAACAGCCAGCACTTCTGCACCACATGCTGGTGCCTGGCTCTGATTTTTAGTCATGAGGATTAAGTAAAAGCATAACCTTAAACACATGACTAGTTTTAAAACAGAACAAATACACACTCTGACCTGAAACAAGGAATAGGAATTTTTAACATTCTGAAATAAGCAAAGCCTGCTTACAAGGGTCAAAACAAAGTATCCCCAGCCCTTGAAAGACCCAAATTCTGCTGCCTGGACTTTTTTTACCTCCTTCCCTCTCCTCTTGCTGACTTCATGACCGTATAATCATTCTACATTTGATCCCTCTGCAAGAAATATAAAACATTTGTCAGGTCAGTATCACTTACCAGCATGGATGTGACCCATGCCTCAGCTTTCCTAAACAGGACCTGAGCAAAATAACAGACGTTTTGCAATGAACAATATATCATCATCCCAACAGGCAACAAGGATGCAGATCTCTACCAAATTAGGCTCAGCAAAGCTGTCTGCTAGAAGCCCACATGACAACATACACCTTTATTGTATAAACAAACAGCTTCCACAGATGAAACTGATAATTTTGGCCAAGAAATAAGAGTGTAGTGCTGTAATGTCAACAGCAGCCAGCTAGGGATGTGCTAAGATACATTAGACTATCAAATCTAATTTTCATAGAAAAAATAGAAGAATCATGCAGAAATTATATCCAGTGATCCCAAAGTCACTAAAAATAAATGAACAAATGGCTAAAATCCCCAAACTACAGCCACACACAAGTAGCACAATAGAGAGACTACGTAAAGAGCATCTCTGTTGGAGAGCTTTTATGAACACAAGTGAGTCTCCTCATGACTCACACTAATCTGTCTTTGTCTATGATTCCCACTGCATGCCTTTTTATTAGGATTACTGGTAACTGGACATGTTTCTTCAAAAGAAGCAATTTCCACACCTCATTGCTGCTGCACAGGGATGACACACAGGATATCCAAACCAACAAGATGAAGCATTGCCAAGATGGATCTCATCTTTGTCTACACAACAATGGAATTGTTGGGCTAGAAGATGTCAGAGATGAAGCCTCCAATCCCAAGCTGGTTCACAGGCTGATGCAGACAGCTGATCTCACCCTATTTTTCTTTTCCTCTAAGCAATTACAGTTTTGCAGCCTACATTGGATATTTCTTCAAATGCCCTAATCTCAATCTGCACCCTCCCTGCCACAGCTGGATTTTTCTATTGCTCATGACCATTTAAGAATGCACCTTCACAACAGTTGTGTCATTACAGCATCCCTTTATCACTAGAGTAATGCCCCTCTCCACACAAACACAGCTTGGCTAGCTTTTCTTCAACAGTATCATATTTCCAAGTTTTTCATCAATGTTATTGCTCAGAGCTCTCCCACTGGTGTTAGAAACAAACTGCATAGTGTAAAACAAGTTGGATTACTCCAAGGAGTTTAGCCCAAATTTATCTAATGCGTTTGCACCCGACACTAATCTTATAGTACTTTTAACATGGATAGATAAATGTCAAAAGGACGTCTTTCCTTTACAAGACAGGGGTGCAATGTAGAAGACAGTTGGTGAGTAGTCAAGCCAGTGGCACTCACAGAGAGCGTGCAGAAGTATGTACAATCAAAGGACTTGGCAGAACAGAAGTTTTTATGGCTATGTGCAGTGCCTTGCTAAACAAAGTAGGAGCTAGAACAGAGTCCAACTAGTTTTAGCTAGACAGCTGCATTTCATTGCAGTAATTTATCCATAAGCATCTATGGATTGTTTCACATTACTTGACTGGATGGATTAAAACAATCAAAAAAATCCCAGACAGACCAAGAAAACAAAACCCACAAGAGTCACCAACAACAAAATCCCAGATATTAATTTAGCCCAAAGTTACGTACAAAACCTCTTGTTTTTCTCATTCTGGTTAAATCACAGCCTTGCTCCACTACAGCCATTTTTAATAAAAACCAGGTGGATGAGGCTGACTCAGATACCACTGATGAGCTGGCAGCAGCTGGAGGAGACAGGCTGCTGTGGAAGACTAGTAACGGCAACACTCGCTCCGGATATGAAATACCTGTATCCAAACCCCGGTTCTGCCCGAAGGGGATCTGAACCCATAAAACCAACACACCTCTCCGGA